CCCATGATTGTAATTCTATCAATCACACACGTCAGAAACCATTCATTAATGAAGATTCTGTTTACTACAAGTGCGTTGCCAATTAGCTCTAGTTCTTTTTATTTTATAGTGAACATCACTTAATTTCCTCATTCTCATATTACATTTGTTATCTACAGACTCATGTTATTAGCAAATATTTTGTCTTTGAGTTCCCAAGTAAACTATTCAGACCTCAGAATCCTACATAGGCCCATATAGCAAGTAATTTTAACTAGAATTGTATTTTATTTTTATTTCTTTTATTTTTTATTTATTTATTCATTTATTTTAGATGCCCCTTAGCATTTATGTTATTCTTATTCAGGCTATGTTATAGTCTAAAGGATTTTAGTCGTTTATTAGAAGTAATACCATCATACAGACTACAGTTATTCAATGTATTTTTTTTTTTTTTTTCACAGAAGAAAAGGTCACTCGCTAACATTGCCCCAACTGTGTTGCCATTCCCTCAATCTCAGATTCAATTTCCTGAATTTCTTGACTTACTCTTGCGATTGAAGCCTGTACCGACTTCTCCGATTCCCCAGCACGCTGTATTCCCTTCTTTAACTCTTCTTTCTGAATGTTCAGTGCGTTCAGCTTTTCTTCCAACTCTGCCTTCGCCCTCGTGAGATTCGCGACTGTTCCTCTGGTGCGTTCAATGTCCTCTTCGAGACGACTATTCTCATCAGAGAGCCGTTTGATTAGAGTCTCTTCTTCCTTTAGATTTTGAGATAAGGAGCTTTTCATAGCTGCTTTTGTATCTCTATTCTGTGTTAATTCGTTCTTAGTTCTGGTGGACTGTGTAACCTTTTGTCTAGCGGAAGAAATCTGCGTTTCAATTTGTTTGTTCTGTTCCTTGGCAAGGTGGAGTTCTTGCGTAAGCAGACTGATCTCGTTGTTCAGTTGGGCTTTCTCTCCTTCTGCCTTCTGGAGTGCGGACTTGGCTTCAAGGTTCTCTGTCTTGGCCTGCACTTCCTCATTTTTCAGTTGCAGCTCCTCCGTCTGCAATTGGAGGAGCTGATCTTGCAACTGTTGCTTGGTGGTCCCTGCCTGGCGGATTCTCTCCTCCATCTGCTTGCGCTTTGCTTCCAGCTGGGCGCTCGCTTCTTGCTGTTCTTGGATTTGGTTGTCGTTGAGGCCGGTCCTTGCTTGCAGAGCTTCACTGATGTTTGTGCAGCTGCGTATTTCTGTTAAGAGGAGAAAATTGTTCAGATATCTGAAAACATCTATAGCCCCAAGTTGGCCTTTCAGTTCGAAGATTGAGCTTGTCTTATTTACTTTCTTGTACCATATCGAGATAGAAAATAACAAAAATGAGCAGATCGGCAAGAAACAGCAAACACCATTGCGTAAAATGTCAACCCTACATACTAATGCTTAGTCACACAGTAGTGGTGGATAATATGGTTTATATATATGCATAAAATACAAGATCACTGTATTAAATGTATACGATAAAGGATCATAGAGTTCTTACAGTGCTTCAGATACCCAATGCTTATATTCGATACTGAATACTTTACATAATCATTATTAAGAACTCTGCACTTCGTAGTCACTTCAATGTCACCATTATAAACTTTTCCCCTATACCCACTGCCCTTATGCCTTACTGCACTTCACTGTCACCTCCATAAACAAACTGTGACACTTAATGTACCTACACAATATTCCTAGATCCTGTGCGTATTGCACAATCCACCAACTATCTTCGAGCTAATATTAACAAGAAGGATCGAATACTTCATCTATTTCTAACAGGTCTATGTCTGCTTTTATTTTCTTAGTGTTTAGAGATGCCAAAGACGCTCGAAGAGCACCAAGCGCATCTTCTTTCTTTTTCTTTTGTCCTTCCAACACTTTATTTTCAGCTTCTAGACTGCGGATCCTTCCAGTCAGCTGATCAATCCCTGTCTGGATCCTGGTCTCTGCTGCCAGTGCATCCTCCTTGGCTTCCTTCAAGTCGGCGTTCCTTCCCAGCTGAGCCCTTTTCTCCCCTTCGGCCGTGGCCTTTCTCTGCTCGAGCTGCTCGAGTTCCTGGTCCAGCCGGGCCATTTGCTGCCGGATCTCCTTGCTGTTGCTTTCTAACTCTGCCACTTGTTGGTCTAACTGGGACTTGGTTGCCTGTTTCTGAGGTCGCAGTGCTTTCTCCGCCGCCACCTGGTCCTTCAGTGCTTGTGTTTTTGCCTGAAGGGAGGCCTTTTCTGCTTCTGTGTCGCTGCCTTTGGCCAAAAGCTGCAGGGTGTCATCTTTCACTCTCCGAATGCTGGCTTCCAGTTGCCCAATCGAGTCCTCCTTCTGCTGGGCCTCTTGGCGTCTGAGGTCGACCTCATTCTGAAGTTGCAGACTCTGTTCTTCAAGCTGTTGTATGACGGTTGCAGTCTGGTTATTCATTTGCAACAGCTCTTGCAGTTTGTTCTCTCGTGCTTTCACCTTTTCCACGAAGTCGCTTGGAATGAAAGTACCTGTGGAAAAATTATACTTTCATCATAAATTAAAAGCTTTTCCTACAATGCACACAAATCTATTGCTTGTTGTTCTGCACACACATACATATAGATATGTATATATGTTATATATATGTGTGTATATATACATACATGCATGTACACACCCACGTACATACACACATATGAACAAATATATGATATATATACATGCAAATATAAATATATGCATATATATATATATATATATATATATATATATACATGCAAATATNACATATATATATAAATATAATATATATATATATATTAATATATATATATACATGCAATGTAATATATACATATATATATATATTATACATTGCAAATATAAATATATACATACATATACATGCATATATATATATATACATCCAAATATAAATATATACATATATATACATGCAAATATAAATATATACATATATATATACATACACATATTTACATATTTGTGTTTATAATATAGACACGCACACACGGACACATACATATACACACACCAAACATAAAATATATATGTGTGTGTGTGTGTGTGTCACAGCAGGAACCAGATCGAAAATCTCTTTCATTCCGACTGAGACTACAGCAATTAAAGTATTTGTGTTTAGAGATTGTACTTACACTGGTGACTAAACATGCTCTTACGCACCGTGTGTGGTTTGTTGCTGTATAAGAATGTGACCTGTGTAAGAATATTGAACTGTATTTGAGACTATGTGTAACATGCTTTTATATTTGCGTGCATATCTGTATCATGCCTGTGTCCGCGTGCGGTGCTTGCGTGTAAGTGATTATTTGACCCGGGCGACTCACCGGGTGATGACTCATCCTGCTCAGGTGTGACGTCAGAGCCTGGGAGAGGATTTCAACTGGATGTCACCGAGCGAGGCCTGCAGGGGGGGGGGGGCATAATATCAGCTATAGAATGAATCTCTTATATGAAAAAAGAAACAAAGAGGAAAGTGACATCAGCGTAGCTGTGTTGTAATCGCAGTGTGCTGAGAGCGTCTGCCCGTGCGTCTGGGCTTGAATTCGTTCGTGTGTCGGTGCTGTGCCTCGTCTGAGGGAATGTGCTTTCGTATGTGCATGCGTAGAGATATTTTACCAAAAATAGAGGATAATTGTCGATATGATTAGGTCTTCACGAAATGTATCAATCAAATTTAAGATAAACAAAAGGTTCTTACTGGGAATCAAAGTAACATCCCTTCTCAGACGGGAAAATGAAAACAATGAATAGAATACATGAGTAATCAAGTAAAATCAGAGAAGAGAAACCATCTTAAAATCTACTATCGTTACAGTATCTTTATTTTCTTCGGGAGATGGCAACTTTCAACAGAATTGACAACATCAACTCATCCAATATCATTCATCTTAGGATACGTCGGCGCAGTGGACTTTGCTTACCTTCACTCAGCTGCTGCGTCTGCGCTGTGTGGCTGCGGGATAACTGCGCCAGCTGCGTCGTCACTGCGGCGCGTCACCTTGGCAGGAAGACGAGTTAATCCCGCGAATAGACGGCGTTAAGGCAAGGGGCTTTCTGAGCAACAGCAGGTGCAATGCGGGTGGCACTGAGTGAGCGAGGCTTTGCCATCACTATAGCTAAGTAAACAACAACAAAAAAAGTGATAATTATGACTGAAAACGAACCAGAAATAAACATCAAAATGATAGAAAGCCTCACCACGAGAGATGTTGCTGACGTTGTCGAGCAGCTGGGCGATCGCCAGCTGGTTGAAGACGACGCTGGTTCGCAGATCCTCGTCGTGGGGCGCGGCGGACGCCCACCCGACGGCGCACAACGACAACAGCGCCAATCCCAGCATGTCCTTCGAAGGAGCGAACGAGAGAGTGCGAGAGTTCCTGAAGTTCCTGACGGAGCGGCGCGAGGAGTGAAGGCTTGAGGTTGCTGCGGCTTTATAAAGGCAGGGAGCGGGGGCATGGGTCCCTGCGAGGTTGTGCAGGGAAAACCCTCAGTGGCATCCCTGTGCCTCCGACTTAATGTTTACAGGCATCCTGAAACTTTATCTAGGGGGCGGGTTGCACGTGTTTACCATTCTGTCATATTTTTTTCAGGTTTTCATTCAGTTAACTAGTTTTCTCTTACTATTACTTTGTTTTCTATTTGTCTAAATTTCGCTACTTCGGCGTCTGTCATATTTTCGTCTTCCCTCAGTGCATTTCCCATCTACGAATATCAAGAAGAAGAAGCGAGAGGGAAGCTCGCACTCAAGATAAACAAGGTCGACCTCGCCGACCCAGGCTGCTGCTGAGGCTCCTCGAACACGGCGGCGACACCGGGTGACGGAGGACTCGGGAATCCTGGTTCTTGGCAGGGATGCAGATGTGCACACATGCGCACGCCAGGACACACACACACACACACACACACACACACACACACACACACACACACACACAAATATATATATATATATATATAATATATATATATATATATATATATATATATTGTGTGTGTATATATGTATATATATAAATACATATATTTACATAAAGATATATATATTCATGCAAACACACACACACACTCAAACACAAAGACATACAAACACGCTTATATATATATATATACATAAATATGCGTATATAGATATATATATGTATATGTATGCTCGTTCTCCAGTCGGACGGGTATCATACGCATCCTTTCCTCAGCGCGGCCGGGCGTCGTGGACCATGACACACGTGACTTTGCATTCACACTCAGACTACTGTGGAAAGACTTAATACAAGAACAGGGTGGTGTAAGAAAAAAAAATGTATATAAGGTATGTAAGCACATATAGATACTTTTCGTGTACCCCATTTATATTTATATTTATTGATGTGGACCAAAGTTCGGATCAAGGATTTTTTTCAAACTCAAAAGGTTATGAACAGATTTTAATATATTGTTTACCTGAGGTATGTCTTAGCCAAACTAATATTCCCTAAATTTTGGTGGTGATTCTGATCATCTAGCAATCCTACCCTCCCTTTGGGGGTGAGGGAGGTTTGCATTTTCGAAATATTTTGCTCATAGATCAAACTAACTATATATGATGAAATGAATAAAATAAGATTAATCATATGAGTGGCACATCATGTTTATTTATTTGTGTGACTTTTTTTCATTATTGTTTATTGGACACTTGTCAGATTTTAAAAATTACTCCGAAAAAATGAAGGTTGGTCTCATCTTACATGAAATTTAATCAGCTTTCAGAAAATAATCTAATTTTTTTATTATTCTAATCATTACGACATAATTATCGATTTTCTAAGGTAATATGTAAAAAATAATATTTCGGTCGACATCGAGAAGGGCTGCCACCACCTGATAAACAGAGGTCGGGCCTTGAAATTTTCAGGCGAGAATCGGGGGCCCAAAACTCCTCGGAAATGCATTTAACCCAATTTCGGCAAGACGGGCGAAAAAAGGCGAAAAAACATTAGACGGTCCCCTTCATGGTGATTTCTTTCACTTACAAACAGTAATTTTTTATGATAAAATCGTAAAAGATCACGAAACTCGAGACGTATTCATCTAACAATGTCATCTAACAATCAGTAAATAATAGGCAGATATATAGATAAGTATGTGCATTTATTTGAAATTCGAAATTTTCTCTTAATATATCATGTACATATTTGTTTTATTGTTTCCGAGAGAGGGACGCCATGTTTTGGTAAGAACCAGCATTTTGTTGTGATTCGGTGCACATAATTTTCAATATTTTGATGTTCTATGGAGTTTGGATAAGCAACTAACTTGTGTAATATTCCTATTTCCATATCAATTGTACAATATCTATGTAAAATGTTAGTGTTTATTTTCGTAAAAATATTCTTGTTTATAGTTCGGCAAGTTGACGACTCATCAGGTAACATGATTAGCCATCCTTCATTTGTAATGTATTTGCCTTACCACTGTGTGACATGAAAAGTGATATGATTATTTTTATTTTGGGAATTAGTGCTATTGTGCATCTATATTAATTTTAAGGGGCAAATTATATCTTAGATTTATAGATATTGTTTATACCTCAAGAACTGTACAAATAATGTAATATTTTTATTTTTATTTCAGATCTCAGTGTGGCTATTTTCTCACAGTTGTGGTATGGTTCATTAGCTAATACTTTGTTTATTTGTGATATTTTAGTCCTGTCATTGTATTCACTGATTTTGTTTAACAATATGATTTTCCTTAACACACTGTCCATTTGTCTCTTTCTCTGCCTCTACATGCAACTCTTTACATCTTATCATGGTTGGTTGTTAGGACTTAGCTTAGTCATGTATCTGTATCAATAAAATGCATCACTCATCCCACATGTATATATTTTTTGAAATCTCACATTCCTTTCTGTGAGAGAGAGAAAAAAAAAAACACCCATGACTGTTAAACCTACAAAGAAAACCATTAATTCATAAATATTCTGTTTACTACAAGTGCTTGCCATTTGGTGGGTTACCTTGCCATAAGGGGTTCAGAAACCTCTTACCACAGATATACCAGAACAGTTATATATAACAAAAAAAAAAAAATCTTCAACTCCATCTACTTATTGTGGTAAGCATCACTGAATCTGATTATCACATCACATTTCATGATTATCTATAGGCTATTAGCAAATATCCCATCCCTGATTAAACTCTTCAGACATCATAAATAGGCCAACATGGCACTTTTTTTTTGTCTATTTGATGGTACTTATCATTCACATTATCAATATATAGGGTATGTCAAAGTCTAAATGTCTTTAGTAAAGTTTATTAGAAGTAATGTCTTCGTACAACTATGGCACAAATATAATGTAACAGTTTATTTTTTTCTGAATATTCAAGATCTTGGAACAAGAGGTCAATATCGCTAACAAAACCACTTTTCCATGTCCCTAATCTCAGATTCAATTTTCTGAATCTGCTGGCCTACTCTCCTAATAGAAGCCTGTACCGACTTCTCCGATTCCCCAGCACGCTGTATTCCCTTCTCTAACTCTCCCTTCTGAATGTTCAGTGCATTCACTTTTTGCTCCAACTCTGCCTTAGTCTTTGTGAGATTCTCGCCTGATCCTCTGGTATTTTCAATGTCCTCTTCGAGACGACTATTCTCATCAGAGAGCCGTTTGATTAGAGTCTCTTCTTCCTTTAGATTTTGGGAGAAGGAGCTTTTCATAGCTGCTTTTGTATCTTTACCCTGTGTTAATTCGTTCTTAGTTCTGGTGGACTGTGTAACCTTTTGTCTAATGAAAGAAATCTGCGTTTCAATTTGTTTGTTCTGTTCCTTGGCAAGGTGGAGTTCTTGCGTAAGCAGACTGATCTCGTTGTTCAGTTGGGCTTTCTCTCCTTCTGCTTTCTGGAGTGCGGACTTGGCTTCAAGGTTCTCTGTCTTGGCCTGCACTTCCTCATTTTTCAGTTGCAGCTCCTCCGTCTGCAGTTGGAGGAGCTGATCTTGCAACTGTTGCTTGGTGGTCCCTGCCTGGCGGATTCTCTCCTCCATCTGCTTGCGCTTTGCTTCCAGCTGGGCGCTCGCTTCTTGCTGTTCTTGGATTTGGTTGTCGTTGAGGCCGGTCCTTGCTTGCAGAGCTTCACTGATGTTTGTGCAGCTGCGGATCTCTGTTGAGAGGAGAAATTTGTTCAGACATCTACAAACCTGCATAGCACTGTTGTCCTTTCAGTTCGAAGCTTGAACTCATCGTCTTCCATACTTTCTTGTACCATATCAAAATAGAAAATAACAGACATGGGCAAATCGGCAAGAAAAAGCAAACAGCATTGCGTTGAATGTCAATCCTACATACTAATCCTTAGTCACACAGCAATTGATATATATAATATTATATATATATATATATATATAATATATATAAAACATTATCACTGTATTAAAGTAAATGTATGCGATAAATTGTCATAGAGTTCTTTCAGTGCCTTGATACCCGATGCTTTCATTCGATGCTGAACACCTTAAATAATCATTATCAAGAACTTTGCACTTCAGTCACTTCACTGTCACCTCCATGAACAAATTGTGGCATTCGGTATACCCACACAACATTTCTTGGTCCTGTGCGTACTGTACAATCCACAAACTTCCTGCTAATAGAGACATTCATATTCGAATGCTTCCCGTATATCTGACAGTCTTCCGTCTGCATCTTCTTTCTGAACATTCTTAGATGCCAGTGACGCTCGAAGAGCCAAAGACGCTCGAAGAGCACCAAGCGCATCTTCTTTCTTTTTCTTTTGTCCTTCCAACACTTTGTTTTCAGCTTCTAGACTGCGGATCCTTCCAGTCAGCTGATCAATCCCTGTCTGGATCCTGGTCTCTGCTGCCAGTGCATCCTCCTTGGCTTCCTTCAAGTCGGCGTTCCTTCCCAGCTGAGCCCTTTTCTCCCCTTCGGCCGTGGCCTTTCTCTGCTCAAGCTGCTCGAGTTCCTGGTCCAGCCGGGCCATTTGCTGCCGGATCTCCTTGCTGTTGCTTTCTAACTCTGCCACTTGTTGGTCTAACTGGGACTTGGTTGCCTGTTTCTGAGGTCGCAGTGCTTTCTCCGCCGCCACCTGGTCCTTCAGTGCTTGTGTTTTTGCCTGAAGGGAGGCCTTTTCTGCTTCTGTGTCGTTGCCTTTGTCCAAAAGCTGCAGGGTGTCATCTTTCACTCTCCGAATGCTGGCTTCCAGTTGCCCAATCGAGTCCTCCTTCTGCTGGGCCTCTTGGCGTCTGAGGTCGACCTCATTCTGAAGTTGCAGACTCTGTTCTTCAAGCTGTTGTATGACGGCTGCAGTTTGGTTATTCCTTTGCAACAGTTCTTGCAGTTCGTTCTCTTGTGCTTTCACCTTTTCCACAAAGTCACTTGGCATGAAAGTATCTGTGGAAAAATTAAACTTTCATCATAAATTAAAAGCTTTTCTTACGGAGCACGTAAATTTAATGCTTGTTAAAGCACTTCATGTTGTTCTGCGCACACACTCACACATATATATGTGTGTATATATACATACATGCATGCAAACACACATGCATATACACACATGAACATATATATGATATATATATACATGCATACTATATATATATATATACACGCACATATATTTATATATTTGTGTTTATATATAATCATGCGGACATACACACACACACACACTCACATAGATATATATGTCTGTGTGTCACAGCAGGAACCAGATCGAAAACCTTCATTCCGAATGAGACTACAGTAATTTAAGTATTTGTGTTTAAAGATTGTACTTATGCTGGTGACTGACCGTGCTCTTAAACACGCATGTGTGTGTTTTGTTGTTGTCGTTGCTTCTAAATTATATTAATTCATCTGTTCCTGTGTAAGAATATTAAACTGCATTTGAGACTTATGTGTATCATGCTTGCATATTTGCGTGTATGTCTGTATCTGTGTCCGCGAGCGTGCTTGCGTGTGTCAAGTGAGTTATTTTGACCCGGGCGACTCACCTCGGTTGATGACGTCATCCTGCTGCAGGTGTGACGTCAGAGCCTGGGAGAGGAGGTCGACACTGGATGTCACCCGAGCGAGGCCTGCAAGGGGGGGGGGATTATAGCATCAGTATTCTTTAATATAGCAGGAAATAAAGAACAAATTGTCATCGACGTGCTTGTGTCGCAGTCTGAGAGCGGGCTTTCGTTGCGTCTGCTTGTTCGAATGTGCTTGCGTTCGTCTGTGTGTCGGTCTGCGTCGGTGCCTGTGTCTCGCCTGAATGAATGTGCTTTCGTCTGTACATGCGTTGAGATATTTTACCGAATATAGAGGATAATTGCCGAAATATGATTAGTTCCGAATGATAGATATAACATTAAAGAAAAGCTTTCACATTTCTTCATAGATCAAAGTAATCTGCCTGCTCAGAGTGGAACAAAGAAAACACTGGATAAAATGCATGAGAAATCAAGTAAAATCACAGAATAGAAACCACCTCTCTATTTACTTCGGGAGAGGTCGGCAACCTTCAACAGAATTGACAGCATCAACTCATCCAATATTATTCATCTAAGGATACGTCGGCGCAGTGGACTTTGCTTACCTTCACTCAGCTGCTGCGTCTGCGCTGTGTGGCTGCGGGATAACTGCGCCAGCTGCGTCGTCACTGCGGCGTCACCTTGGCAGGAAGAAACGAGTTAATTCCCCGCGATAGACGGCGTTAAGGCAAGGGGCTTTCTGAGCAACAGCAGGTGCAATGCGGGTGGCACTGAGTGAGCGAGGCTTTGCCATCACTATAGTCTCTAAAGTAAACAACAAAAGAGTAAAGATGATAATAAATGAAAACGAACCAGAAATAAACATCAAAATGATTGAAAGCCTCACCACGAGAGATGTTGCTGACGTTGTCGAGCAGCTGGGCGATCGCCAGCTGGTTGAAGACGACGCTGGCGCGCAGATCCTCGTCGTGGGGCGCGGCGGACGCCCACCCGACGGCGCACAACGACAACAGCGCCAATCCCAGCATGTCCTTCGAAGGAGCGAACGAGAGAGGGAGAGAGTTCCTGAAGTTCCTGACGGAGCGGCGCGAGGGAGTGAAGGCTTGAGGTTGCTGAGGCTACTTATAAAGGCAGGGAGCGGGGGCATGGGTCCCTGCGGAGGCTTGTGCAGGGAAAACCCTCAGTGGCACCCCTGTGCCTCCGACTTGATGCCTTTACCAGCGTCTTGAACCTTTATCTAGGATCTCAAGGCCGGGTTGCAAGTGTTTACAATTCTGTCATATTTTGCTTGTTTTCATTCATTTCATAGCACTATTTTTTTTATCTTTCTTTCTTTCTTTGATGATACTTATTTACATTATCCATATATAGGGCATGTCAAAGTCTGAAGGTCTTTAGTAAAGTTTATTAGAAGTAATGTCTTCATACAGACTATGACACAAGTTATATAATGTAACAGTTTATTTTTTCCGAATACTCAAGATCTTGGAACAAGAGGTCAATCTCGCTAACAAAACCGCTTTTCTCTGTCCCTAATCTCAGATTCAATTTTCTGAGTCTCCTGGCCTACTCTCGTGATCGAAGCCTGTACCGACTTCTCCGACTCCCCAGCACGCTGTAGTCATTCAGTTAACTAGTTTTCTGTTACTATTACTTTGCTTTCTATTTGTCTAAATTTCGCTACTTAGGCTTCTTTTATATTTTCATTTCCCATCTCCGAATATCAAGAAGAAGCGAGAGGGAAGCTCGCGCTCAAGATAAGCAAGGTCGAGCTCGCCGACCCAGGCTGCTGCTGAGGCTCCTCGAACACGGCGGCGACACCGGGTGACGGAGGACTCGGGAATCCCGGTTCTTGGCAGGGATGCAGATGTGCACACATGCGCACGCCAGGACAGATAGATATATGTATATATATACATACACAGATACACACACACACACACACACACATAAATATCTATTCATATATGTATATGTATATATATATATATATGTGTGTGTGTGTATCTGTGTATGTGTGTGTGCATATATATAAACATAAGTGTATATGTATATGAATATATATTATAATATATATATATATATATATATATATATATATATATATGTATGTATCTATATAAATATATATGCATATGTATATGTATATATATGCATATGCAAATATTTATATATCTGTGTATGTTGTGTATATATGCATATGTGTATATGTATATATACATATGTATAGTTCTGCACGGTGTGTATAAATGTATACACACAAATACACACACACACACACACACACACACACATACACACACACACACACACACACACACACACACAACACACAACACACACACACACACACACACACACACACACACACACACACACCAATATATATATAATAATATTATAATATATATATATATATATATATATAAATATATATATATATATATTGTGTGTGTGTGTGTGTGACTGAAGATTGTGTGTGTGTGTGTGTCTTGTGTTGCGTGTATATGCACTATAGTTTATATATATACATATAATATTTGAGAAATAACTAAGTATAAATTATATAGAAGTATAAAAAATACAGATTTAGTGATATCCTATAGTAGAGATGAGTAAATATAATTCAGTGATACATATATCTATAGATATATATATATAGTATATTATATATGTATGTTATGTATAGAAGTAAATACATTCATATGATAGAATATATGGAATATAGTATAATATTAGTATATAATAGTAGAATATTTAGGATGTTTATATAGTTATAAGAATATATAATACATTTATATGTATGAATGTTAATATGCATATCATCCTCATAAAGTAAATAACAATATAATGTTATTTTTATTCATCTCTATACCTCATAAGAACTCACAATATATTTGTTTATGTTTAAATATATAAAGTATATATACATAAAGTATGATATTGTAAAAGTCGTATCATTTAAGATAGTATATATTATAGTATTGTTATAATAAAGTTTAACAATTTGAATATATTATTACAGTTATTATATAAAAGAATATAGATTAAGATATATATGAGTAGTGAGGTGAGGTAGATAGATATATATATATATATATATACATGTTACATATTGTATATATATTTATATATACAACTCTACATAGATTCGTATATGAATATGTAAATAATGCAGTATCGTAATATATATTATAATATATATACTATAGAATATATATATATATATTGTGATATACATTATATAGTACTTGGGGTATTATATCATTAAAATACTATTCATATAGTAATTAACAAAGAATATAATATATAGATATATATATATAGTATATATTACTATTGTTATATATATATATATATATATTCAAGATAAACTTGAGTTGTGTGGATTATTTAATATTATATATAGAGAATATATAGTGCAGATATATTATATATTAAATATGATGTATATATATATAGAATATGAATTTATATATGATTAGTATATAATAACATGGATAATATATTTGGGTATATATCATATTACATATATATGTAAATATATTAGTAATTATATTATGTATGTATATGACATTATAATATATGTATATATGTATTACGTATATTCATATATGACATTAGCATCTATATAATTATAGTATGACTGGATATATATTATATACACTATATATTCCTATATTTAGTAGATAGATAGTATAGATTTGATTACGCATACACTGATAGAACTAGATATGTATAGATTGAGAGTATGTAATCTACGATATAGTATCACGGTATATATAATATATATATATATATATATTATATAGTAATCTATATATCATATTTATTTCTAAATCTCACTCTTCATCTATTATTATATGTTTGTTGTGTAGTTAGGTATATTCCTTTATCTAGTATATATTGTTACTAGTATAGTAGTAACTATAAATGGATTATATTATTAGCATATATAAATTGTATGATAATAAATGTTATATATCATTATATATGTGTGTTGTGAATCTAGTATATAAGGTACTATATTTATTTACATATTATTAATATATACTAATATATATAAACTTACTATATAAATATATAAATTCAATATGTACACGCTCACACAAATTCATTTCCACACATAAAATATAATGACTGCTACCACTATATGTAAACTACAGTATAACAACACATATAAATTAATTAGTTATAATCACTCACGCACTCAATTATAATATCTACATAATTATATGCTATAGTTATATTATATATATGTGTGGTGTGTGTGTGTGTCTGGTGTGGGTGTGTCTGTGTGTGTTGTGGTGTGTGTGTGTTGTGATGTGATTAATGTAGATGTGTTGTTTAGAATATGTCTTAATCACTTGTATATTCCGTATAATACCTACTACATATATATAGTAATTGAACATTATATAATTCATATTTATACATTTAATATGTTATTATATTTAATATATAAAATTAATATATAACATGTATTATATAATACGTATAAGGTATGATTCATTATATATATAAGATCTATAACAATATCTAGGCTCTACCGCACCTAAAAATATCATAAGGGCAATTTCATAGATTATAAATCGTATATAAAATTTACAAATATATGGAAGTATTAGCCATACACACACACACAACACACTATAGAGCTATATTACCGGGTTATTAACTATAATATTATATTATACTTATTATACTATATAGTATTATACATATATATATATATATTACTATATCATTTAATATACATGTCTCATCTCACCTCTAACTTATATATTTTTATACTTACTAGTGTTACACTAATATCGTCGTTGATTTATAGTTTAACATTATATATATTAAGGGAACGCGCTACTCCACATAAAATATATACTAGTATATATTCTATTTACTATATACTCACTCACTCACTATATATATATTCACGATGTATATATAACTATATTTATAATACAATTGTTATATATTAATATATATCTATTACGTGATTTTGTGGATTATATTCAATGCTCACTATTATTGTATATAATATATATAATATATATAGTATATACAAGTTATATATATAGGTACTCCTAAGTATATAGTAATATATAAATAATACTCATACTATTAATGTATAGTAATATTTATTTATTTATTTATTTATTTATTTATACATGTATACCTATACACTATTTGCACTTCCCGATTATTATACTAGAGCGGTGCTTATATATATAATATATAAGTATATAATATATATACCATACTATATAATGGTGACATATATATATATATATATATATATAGTATATATATATATAATTAGTTTGCTATATATCTATACATTACTATATGATATATATATAATCAACTATCGGATATACATTATATAATATATTATATCTTATATTATTATAATAATTAATAGCACTATACGTAATACTTATGATGTAATAGTATGTTATGTTTATTCTCTGTTATATATAAATATATATATATATATATACCGGTATACTCTTTATATAATTATATATATTAATATTATTTATATATATTACTATAATATTTATACTTCAATCATATGTGTGTGTGTGTTGTTGTTCTCGTATGTGTTCGTGTGATGCTAATGTGCGTTCAGCAGCCTACCATGTGTGTCAGGTCAAAAGGCCGGCTGTACCCAAGCACCTGAAATAATTCTGTGGAATTCTGGTTAGTTCTGTGTGTGTTGTCGTGCGTGTGCTGTTGTGAGTGCTGGCTGCCGCTTCGCCTAATGTGTCCGTGTGTAAGCATGTGATAGGCTGTGGGTCACGCAGTGAGTGTGATGGGGTGTGCGGTGCATCAGTTTTCGCTCTGCCTTCCTGACATAAACTTCGATCCGTGTGTGACTGTGGTAAGACGACGGTAAGCTTTACAGTATTGGCGTATAGAGTAAGTTTTCTAGCCTATATGTTTGCTCTACAGCAATTAATGGATGCGCTTTCTCCTTATCTATGATAAGATCTGAGTCTTCCATCCGATCATAGGTACATTTCGGACAGATAGCTCAGTGCCTTAATACATAGTTGCCGTATATCAACTGCATTTATCATGAGATGTTGTCGTTTCACGTACTCCGTCGTTTGTATCTGACTCTCTCGTCAACATAACCACCACTCTTCTAGCTACTCATCTAAAACGCAAATCTGTGTCTGGATACTGTGCGTGGAACATCATCAATGTCCATCCCACACATATCCTAACCTGATACTGATTCATGCATATACTAACCGAACTGCTATCTACATTTTCATTTACTGTTTGTGGTTTATGTTTTTGTATATATTATATGTCATACACTTGTTGTATTTATATACTGTATAAGTTTATTATTATATATATATCAGGCATGACATGTCATATATACTTCTATTATTTGATTATTATCTTACAACTACATTATACATACTACTATTGTAAGTATATACATTATTATTATAATATAGTTATACTATATTATATTATATATAGATAATTATCATATGATTATTTATAACTTTATACATACATATATATTAACTATGGTATGTAGGCTAATATATTTATTATCATACTATATATATATATTGTGTGTCACCGCGGTTGTGTTGTGTTATATTTATATATAAGCTTATACAATATATATTAATTCATCATCTCATATCATATCATAAATGTATACTTTACTCTACTATATTACGTATATAACAGTTATATATCAAATCATATGATGTACACGCGCACATCATTCACCTTCATATAGTTCAAATTTATTTTCGAAATATATTAGTATATACTAGTAGCTGACTAATCATTATATATATATGATTAATATAATATATATCACTATATAATATGTGTACTGTGTTGTTGTGTGTTGTGTGTGCTGTGTCTGCCTGTATGTGTTGTTGCTGCTTGCTAGTAGAACTCTTATGAATTATATATGTATTAGATTACTATATCTATATACCATGTAGTAGTGGTCTTGAGTATATTATACTGTTTTATTACTTTATACCTTGATTATATTATACTACTCTATATATATATAGTATATATATATGTTTGTCCATGTATATTATGTAGTCATATGTTTATACTATAGCCTCAGATATATTACGTATCACCTTTTTATATTATACATGTACCATTCTACTTTCCACTATATATCTTATATACGTCATCACCTATACACTAGTTATACAGCAAATATATTAGTATATATACTATTATACTATGCTCATAATATAATATAACTATATATATATATATATCATTCTACTATACATTTATACTATATTATATATACTTATTTTGTATATTCCATATTATAATTGTATTTATATATATAGTTATATAATCACTTACTAACTACTACTAACTCAAATATATATTATATACTATATATCTTACGAGTATACCTATATATTATATATACACTGTTATTCCTTAAGTTCTACTTTATGTATTTACATGTTATCAGTAGTACTACCCGTCTTATTTACTTCATCATATTATATCAGTAATTTAATAACCTAATAATATACAATATTATTATATAGTATAATATAGTCTAAATATCATACATATAAGGTATATACTATACTATTATAAATTCTTATTTACAGTACTTTACTATCTGCCAAATTATACGTTATATGGAGAATGTATATATATAGTATACCTAGTTATATTATTAATAATAATAACTATATATTATGATATTATTATCTTAGTTACTATACATATATGCGTATTATATATGACATCATATCTATAAATATATCATATATATATTTATATATAATATATATATATATCATTATATAGTATACTAATATATGTATTTTATATAGTACTATATATGTAGTGTGATGTATATGCATAATTAGTATAAATA